AGCCCAGGTTGCCCAAAGCCCCGTCCAACCTGGCCTTGAACCCTTCCAGGGAGGGGGCAGCCACAGCTTCTCTGGGCAGCCTGTGCCAGGGCCTCACCCCCCTCACAGGGGAGAATTTCTTCCTTGGATCTGATCTAAATCTTCCCTCTGTCAGTTTAAAACCATTACTCCTCATCCCCTCCCTACCCATAGCCCCGATCCAGAGTCCCCCCCCCTTTCCTGCAGCCCCTTTCAGCCCTGGGAGGCCGCTCTAAGCTCTCCCCAGAGCCTTCTCTTCTCCAGCTGAACCCCCCAACTCTCCCAGCCTGTCCTCACAGGGGGGCTCCAGCCCCCCAGCATCTCCGTGGCCTCCTCTGGCCCCGCTCCAGCAGGTCCGTGTCCTTCTGCTGTTGGTGTCCCAGAGCTGGACCCAGCCCTGCAGGGGAGTCTCACAGAGCGGAGCAGAGGGGGTTTCAAAGTTTTGAAGATGTTCTACAACCTCATCTGTAAGCTGAGGTACGACCTGTCCAGCTTCAAGCACACAAAAAACTCCGAAGTGTGAATTCTGGAATAAATGTCAAGTTTTCTCCACCCAACCTGAGCGCACTTTAGGACAGGCAGATAAGCCTGGGTGGGGTTAAGACCCAGCAGGGGCAGGACAGAGCAGCGTGGCTCAAGGCAGGTCAGCTCAGGGCAGGGTGCACAACAGCCACCACCAGCCCCACAGCAACAGCCGCCCATCAGCTTCAGCGTCACCTGCAGAGAGCTGATGTCACTGCTGTGCTGGCAGCCACACGTCCCAGGACACCGCGCTGAAACTGCGTTTCTGGGATCTTTCTGTGATTTTCTGCTCTCTGGCTGACCTGGCCAGACTGACCCATGCACACTCCCAGCAGAAGAGGGTCCAAGCCGTCACCACCAACCCAGGCTGCCCCAACCCACTCGCTGTTTCTCAGCTTTCCAGCACCATCCCACAGCCACAGCACCTCTTGGGACTAGCGACCGACCCCATCAGCCCCACCATCCTTCTGTCTGACCCAAGCAAAGGTATTTACCATGCCGTGCTTCGGTGAGGAAATTACCTACTTCCTATGTCACAGCAGCAACGGGGCAGAAATTGGAACCTTGGAGTATTAGTCAATATAAAGTTTGAAAGGCGCAGGAGCAGGCTGTGCCCGTGGGACGGGAAACAAGCAGGGGGGAAGGAGACCGGCCTGGCTAAACAGGGACCTTGGGCTGGATCTCACGAACAAAAGCAGAATCTATTGCCTTGGGAGGAGGGGCCAGGTCTCTCATGAAGACTATAAAGATGTAGGGGAGTTATGCAGGGAGAACATTAGCAGAGCCAAAGCACAGCTAGAGCTCGGCTTGGCCACAGCTGTTAAGGGTAACAAAAACCATTTCTGTAAAGTCGTTAACAGCAAATGGAGGGTTGGGGAAAATCTCCCTCCCTTACTGGATGCAGGGGGAAACATGGTAACTAAGGGTGAGGAAAAGGCTGAGGTGCTCAGCGCCTACTTTTCCTCAGCCTTTAGCAGTGGAAGTGGCTGTTCCCTGGACACCCAGCCTCAGGAGCTGGGAGATGGGCAGGGGGAGCAGGCTGAGGGCAGCACAGTTGGAGAGGAGGTGGTCAGAGACCTGCTGCACCACTGGGATGCTCACACGTCTGTGGGAGCGGGTGGGTTACACCCAAGGGTGCTGAGGGAGTTGGCAGATGTGCTCGCCAAGCCGCTGTCCACGATTTACCTGAAATCATGGCTGACTGGGGAGGTGCCATTGGGCTGGAGGGTGGCAAATGTGACACCCATCTACAGGAGAGGCAGAAAGGAGGATCCAGGAAACTACAGACTTGTCAGTCTGCCCTGGGTGCCAGGGAAGGTCATGGAGCAGGTCAGCTCGGGTGCCAGTAAAAGTCAAATAATGGACAACCAGGGGATCAGGCCCAGTCAGCATGGGGTTATGAAAGGCAGGTCCTGACGGACAGACCTGATCTCCTTCTACGACAGGGCGACCTGCTTATGGGATGAGGGAAAGGCTGTGGGTGTTGTCTACCTTGACTTTAGCAAGGCCTTTGACACCGTTTCCCACAGCATTCTCCTGGTGAAACCGGCTGCTCGTGGCTTGGATGGGCACACGCTTCGCTGGGTAAAACCTGTCTGGATGTCCGGGCCCAGAGAGTTGTGGTGAAGGGAGTTAAATCCAGTTGGCGGCCGGTCACGAGTGGTGTCCCCCAGGGCTGGGTGTTGGGGCCACTCCTGTTTAACATCTTTACTGATGACCCAGAGGAGGGGATCGAGGGCACCCTCAGTCAGTTTGCAGGTGACACCCAGCTGGGTGGGAGTGTTGATCTGCTCGAGGGCAGGGAGGCTCTGCAGAGAGACCTGGCCAGGCTGGAGCCATGGGCTGAGCCCAACTGGGGGAGTTTCACTGAGGGCAAATGCCGGGGGCTGCCCTTGGGCCACAA